AAGCACCCAGTCTTTTGACAAGGGTTATTAGGTGGGTGGTTTTGCTCCCTGATTTCCATACTCATGGCTTAATTTTGTTAGCACAGCTTTTTATTAGTTTGCCAGCCTGGCTACATATTAAAACTCCTGGCAAGTTTAAAAATATAGGGTACTAGGTCAGCCCAGGAGATCTGAATCTGTATGCCTATAAATCCAGGTTTTTAAAAAATGGCTCCTACTTCATTGGTCTACAAATGTCATTTGGGAACCATTGGCCTAATGGTCTAATGGTTATATCCTGATTTCAAAACTCTGAATTCTATTCTTCCTTTAGCCAGTGACTTGCTTGCTATGTGGCCTTGGGCAAGTAACTTCATGGTTATTAATGTGCAGTTTTCTGCCTGTAAAGTGAGACAGTTTCACCTCTCTTACTCCACTAGGATAAAGAAAATATAGGGAGCTGATAGGCAGTGAGTAGAATGTTTTATGTTAAAGGCATGTGTGTTAGCATAGGTAGCTGGATATTAATAAAGGAAGGGAGCAGGCGGAATCAGAGCTTAAGATCACTATACCTCACTCACTAGGAAGTCACAGCATCCTCTGCTGAAGGGACTTAATTTCGGCCAGCCTGGTAGTGGGATTATAAGGGGTGGGAAGGAGGGGGGATTTCCTCTGCTGGGCACATGCCCAGTAGAAGCCAAGATGGCAAAGTGGGAGGTCCTTCTTTGAGGCATGCACAGTAGGAGCCAAGACAGCAACCATTAAAGGGGAGGTGTCTAATCTGGGTAGAAGACTGGATTGGTTAGGAAGAGGGCCCAGCACAAGCCCTCGAAGGACTGAGAAAGAGTGGTTAGTTTGAACGGGTGCCTGGTCTTTCCCAAGCCAGAGGTAATATGATCAAAGCTTAACAAAGGCCCCTCTTGGTAGCACCCATGTGTTGTTCCTGAGCTTGCCCTATTTGTTCCTGGGTTCCTCTCTTAGCAGCCCTGTGGGCCCAGCAGCTGCAGGGCCCAAGTGTGGGCCTCAAGTGTGGCTCCAAGTACAGGCCTGGGTACAGCAGCGCTGGCCAAAGCGTAGCTGGGAATAGATTAAGCTGGCCAGATGGGGAAAGAGACTGAACTGGACTGAGCTTTGGCATGGACTGAGCCAATGGCACAGAATTTCTGGACCCTGGCCCTTCTTCTGGGCTTGATGAAGACAAGGCTGGACTTCTTCCACACGGGATGGAGCAGAACCACCTGGCTGTGGATGAGACAGACTTTGGGCACCTGGGGACAGTCCTTTGTGTTTGCTCCAGCTTCAGTAAATCTGACCACTGCACCTCATCCTCCCATGCATGGGTCACTGAAATGCTTTTCTCTTGACTCTGTGGAAGAGCCCTATTTCCACCGGCAACATCTGGACTAGACTACCCAAGAAGCCTTGGGATCTCTGTCCTGGTGAGGACCTGCCTGTGTGCGTTGGTCTAGTGTCCAATGCCATCATTCTTTGAAATGCAAACTTACTTCAGTGACTTCAAAGTGTCACTTGGCTCTTAATGCATACACTGTCTGTGAAGGAGTTGGACCATTGTGAAAAATCCATTTTTTTCATTAAAAGAATCCGTGGTCACTCCTCAACATTAGCAAATTAGAAGAGGCAGCCGTAGCTCCACTGGAGGTCAGAGTCCTGACATTGGTATAGGTGTCAGTCCCCTTCAAGGGCCCTGTGCAGAAATCACGTATCCTAGAGGTGGGAGGACTCAGGACACTCTGAATTCCTGCTACAATTACAGGCAAAATGGCCAGAACAAGCTCATGGCATTCAGGTGCCAGGTCCACAGCATGGGCTCTCAGGATAAGTGCCGTTAGCGGGATTGACAGGGTGTCGACATGGAGCCAGGGAGACAGCCTGGCTTTTGGGCCTGAGGAACAGATGCTTTGTGAGAAGTCTGAGGAGTGATATGAAGTGCGTCACTGGATGGAGTGACATGCAGAAGCTGTGACGGTCTTATGGAGAGATGGCCATTAGAGGAGACATCCCCATACTAGGAAGAGAAGCTGTGAGGAGGATCTGTGAGGCTGGGTGGGCGGAAACTGGATTTCCAAGGGAGTCAGGGCTCTCTCCCATCTGGTATCATTCCTGCCTGTGGTGCTTCCTACTGGGCCCAGGGACACAGTTCGAATTACGCTGCCTCCCACTCTGCCTCCCAGCGTTCCTCTTCCTGTTTCACCGAGGCTCTGGTGGTTTGCAGTGCGGGACGTGTCCCGACGTCCGGGCACCACCCACAACACCCACCCTGCTCTTCGCCGTCCAAGCTTGATCTGTCTGCCATCACCCCTGAGGTTATTAAACTGGCAAGTGCCTATGTGCAATCGACAGTGTTGAATGGCTCCTCACTCTGGGCAAGGAAAGGGAGGACCGTTTTCCTGGTTGAAGTGTTCCAACCAATTCAGAGAAAATACCACACGAAGTCAAAATAGTATCGTTCTGGCCAAGCAAGGGTTTTCCTTTCGAACCATGCTGACTTGCAAGGCTTTGCAGGCTCGCCTCTCCCCTGACGTCAGTGGTCGCGCCTGCTCTCTCCAGCCGGGGGATGTCAGTTCGGCAGAGGTAGGGGAAGGATTTCCTCTGTGGGAGGTGGTGGGAAGAAGAGAATCCCTGGGAGAATATAAACTCTGTAGTGGAAAGCAGAGGATGGTATCCAGCCCAGGAGAGAGACAAAAAAGAGCTTCCTTATGGTTAAAAGCAACGGTAAACCCTTCACTGAAATTCATTTGGGAAGAGATTTTAAGATGACGTCTTCCATTAGGGTGTGCATAGTGTGTGATTTCATTTATCTAAAATTCAGGAACAGTCAAAACTAATCTATGCTGATGAAAGTCAGAGCAGCGTGGCTTGCAGGCGAGTGGGGGGTGGCTGGGAGGGAACACCGCAGGAGCATGGGGGCTGCACACGCTCTGTATCTGGATCTGAGGGGTGGTTGCCGTGATTACCAGGTGTGTTCACGTGTAAAATTCCTTGAGCTGTCTACTAAGATTTGTCTAATGTTGTATACATAATTCATTACTCAATACCAAAGTTTTAAACAAATCTTTTGCTCTGGACACACTAAGTGTGGCGTCAAGATAAAGGGCGTCTGGGATGCTCGGTAGGATAGAGATGCTATTAATATTCAAAGCAGACTGTAGAGCATATAAGGGGCAATTAAACCTGACACAGTGGAAGGACCGCAGGCTTTGACAGTGGGCGGACCTAGGTCCAAGTCTTGCCTGTGGCTTTTCCTGTGGATCTCTGAGCTCACTTTAAAACTCTCTCAGGTACAGTTGCCTTCTCTGGAATGTGGCTACTAATGCTTACCTTTAACTGCTGTTTGGGAGATTTGGTGAAATAATGCATGTAGGTATCTTGCCAGACAACTGAAATATAGTTCCAAGGTTGTATTTATTATTAATAGATAGTGGATATATGTCCACATAAATTGTGGTGCTAAAGAATTTCAATCATAAAATCAGATTTCTATCCTAAAATATTCCTGGGAGTAAAGGTATGACTACCTATTTGATAATAAATAAGCCCTCCTTCACTTATTTCTAAGTGGGTATTGTTAAAATATGTTAAACTATTAAAATGTATTTAAATCATTTGAAATCGAATGCATTCTGTGCTATAGGATCTTGGGCAAATTACTTAACGTCTCAGAGTGTGTTTCTTTGTAAAATGGGAATAATAATACCATTTCATTAGGAGTATTCTTGTGGTTCAGCTGGTTAAAATATGCAGTGTGCTCTACGATGAACCTAACACATTGGGAATTTGGGTTAAATGATTCAATTTGGCAAATACTTAATTAATGCCTAATATAAGCCAGATAAATTTTAGTTCCTGTGAATTGAAAAATCAAGACTAAGAATCCTTGTCTTCAGGAAGCTCCCAACCTAGTGAGAAAGACAGATGTGCACATTTATGAAACAATGTGGTAAATGTTACCCTCAAGTAAAATTAGCATATACTAGGGAAGTGAACAGGAGGCACCGTGCAATAGCACAGTAGTCCATTAAAAGTGTGCGGGTGATGGGCAGATTTAAATTTACAGAGGGAATCGAGATATTGGAAAATAGCAATTTAAGGTCACCATGTGGTTGCATCAATGGCCAAAGGATCATTTCTGTTTTAGAACCACAAGCTTATCTGTACCCAGCAATGTTTTGAATCAGAAGTGGATTCATTGAAACAGCAAAATGGAAAGAACCTTCACACTGGCAGGGGGTCAGAAGGGGAATGGGACAGAATTCTCAGTAGCAAGATCTCATTCTGCTGACTGCCTCCCACCTCCAGTGCAGTCTCTCTGGTTGGAGGCCATGTCCATGCATGAGAAGGGAGGGCGAGTCTTCCAGGACAGTATTGAGTCATGTCTACTTTGAGATTTTGATGAAAGCCATGAACTCTTTCCAAGGAAAAAAAATCAACTTGTAAACAAACAAAATGACCATGGAAATCTCCAGCAAGACTCTTGCCCTTCTGAAATTTAGGCTGAGAACCTCTGTTTTAAAAGAAGATTCATACAGCTGTATTTTCTCCCCTCTCTGGAGAACCAGTAAATATTGGCAACTTCGATTATATCACCATAGAAACCCCAGTGACCCTCAGATCCCTCCTGGGTGGTCCCTTGAGTGTGCAATAACCCTCCCTGTATTCCATCCTACCAGTGCACTTAGGTGTGAGGCTGCTCCAAGATGAAAGGCTTAAAGAAAACCCAACTGTAAATAATCTAGACCCTGCACTGATATTTCTCAATCTCTTTTGAGAGTTTTCCATCAATGATTACTATACACAAGCTACTACTATCACTATTAAGTGCACATTACTACTTTTACTTCCATGACTTAGAAATTAGATTGGAGAGATAGGACATTTGGCTAACCAGAACCAACTGTCCCTGCCTATTTGTTAATTCTTATTGCATATTACTAAGGATCCAGTCTTCTTCCACGACCTCCTTGAGGGAGTCTGATGGGCTATTATGTTTTATGTCTCATCAGGAAGTTCCTGAAAATACAGTGCCTGGAGAATGGTACCTGGGAGCAAGGCAGCTGCATCCCGGTGGTGTGCGAGCCCCCTTCTCCTGTCTTCGAAGGCATGTATGAATGTACCAATGGCTTTGAGCTCGACAGCCAGTGTGTGCTCAACTGTAGCCAGGACAGTGAAAGGGTAAGGATGACTTGAGCTTTGTTTTGGATCAGGCTGTGCCCTAATCTTGATGACCAATCCAACAATGTTGAGTAGAAATGGTATAAATGAATCCCAACAGTCAGGGCCTTACTGAGTTGGGATTCTAACTGGGCTGTTGATATCATTTCATAGGGAATTCAGAAGATATCATAGTTTTGGTATAGTCTCCTGGAACTTTCTCTGGATAAGAAGAAAAACCTGATGGTTTGGGTACTTGAGTAAATTCTCAAAAAATGGTGGGGTTCAGATTGGGCAATGTGATTTCCTCCCACAAGTGGTCCTGACCTAACGTCACCAGGAATACTAGTATTACGGTCTTCAATGGAACAGAGTCCTGAACACACACATGGATTCCTCAACGAAGGCAAAGCTGAAAGTGCTCTTTGACTTTTATTCTCTCTAGGATTTTGGTCGAAGAGGTCCCACGTGAAAACCACAGTCTTATCATGGTTATATTAGTAAGATGAGTTTTATTTTGGAATCTTTATAAGTACTGCAGGAGACAGGCAGTTGAGCGGACTCTAGGCAAAGATCAGCGACTGCTCTCCTGGCACATGTCTGTATCTCAGTATCTGAACTCCAAGATAAGCAGTGTAGGACAGATGTGAAAAGAATTGGCCATGGATACAACAAGAAATCAAACACATCTCTTTGCACTGACTGTTTAAGGACTGACAAAGTTGGCCCGATGAAGGGAGAGTTACCTGTAATTCTAAAATCTCACTTTCTTATGTTTCATGAGTTGAGGCTATTCTGTGTGTTCTTGCATATAGGATACTTTGTGTTGTTGGGAGTATGAAGCCAAGAGGCACACAAACCAGCACATGTGGAGAAAGGCAGTAGAAGTTTGGTGAGATCCAGAGCAACTCTTGTATCCATTCAAGCAGAAAGGCAAAAAGTACCTTCAGAAATATTATGCATTGGTTTCACTGGATCAGACCCATCTTGAAAAAAGTTTGACATTTGCTACCAACAGCATTTGTGTGGCAGTATGGATGAATCAAAGCAAAACAGCACCACCTGGGGAAAAATTCCAAAAATATCTCAGAATACATAGGCTGCCATGGGTAGCTCATCCTATGTTATAGCCAAAGGAAAACGTGTAATGAATAAATTTCATTAATGACAAAGTTCTTCATGATTCCTTCACATCAAAACATCAGAAAGAAATTGTCATGACTTTATTTCAATAGTGTCTTTTAGTCTAAGTTCCAGAAGTTGGAGAGCACTGCTGTTTGATCAGACCACCTTTCCACACTCTAAATGAGGTTAGCAAAGCAATGATGAAATGCTCTTTACCTCCGATTTCCCAGCTTCCCATCCTCTGCACAAAGGACGGCCTGTGGACGCAGGAGTTCAAGTGTGAGAAGCTGCAAGGGGAATGTCTGCCACCCCCCTCGGAGCTGAATTCCGTGGAGTACAAGTGCGAACAGGGCTACGGGATCGGTAAGTTGGGGAAGAGATGCTGGATCCTGTTCCCAAGTAATCTTTTTATTAGACCTGGCTGGATCCTGGATCAGATCCGCTGTGCTCCCAAGGAGGGGACAGATATGCAGGTTCACTCAGCTGCTCCCATAAAATAGGAATCTAAGGCAAATTCATTCCTTTTACTCTTCCACGTATGTACAATGTTAGTGCGGCTGCTGAGCCATTTGCATGGTGCCTGGTCATGTCACCTACCTCCTTGCAGGCTGAAAGTGGATGAGTTAGGGGAGGAGTTGCAGTTCCAAGAGGAGAGGTAGGGACTTGGAGCCACACACTTGACGAGTGCTGGACCCCTCCTCCGTTTCCTTTGTGGTGTGGCTGTGGCGAAGGGCTCCTGAAAGGGATGATTTGAGATTGCATTTGCTTGTGTGGCTTTTCAGACATTCTTTCTCTGCAGAGGGCCAGGCTTCAGAGCCTCTGCGCTATTTATTAATCAAGTAATTGCAATTAAAGGTCTCTGTGGCCAGAGCTGATTTATTGATGTTGACTCAACTTGGCCCTGGCTGGATCAAAGCATCTTGGGAAAGAGATGCTGTTGGTGGAAAACCTTATGAGATTAACCTTAATTCTACAAGCAAACAGTGATTTTATAAGTTGTTCTAACTTGCGTAATGCCAGTGAGTATAATTTGAGATCATTAGGAAGCTTTTTAGTTTGTGAGATGATTCTTTACCGTCTTCGAATTGCTCTTTGCACCGAGATATCTTGAGGTCAGGCCTGGGCAGTGGGGTGCTTGGACTATGCCTCTAGAGTGGTGTTTCATGAGCAAACTCTCATCTTTCCACCCTTTGATTTCTACATTAAAATGTCATGTACTCACATGTATAGAGTCCTCCAGGGTCATATAGCTCTTTGAGTCACTATATAAGTTAGCAAAAAACATCAAAACAGAGATAGTGAGAGCTGAAAAGAAACTTGGAGATTACCAAATCTATAGATGAGGAAATAGGAAACCCTGGAGTGTGCCTTCTTTGAATAGGATTTTGAAAGACACTTGGACTCCATCTACAAAAGAACAGAGCGAATGCGACCAAAATCTCTGCTTCTGATTCCCTATTGTTTTCTCTCCTAATTATATCGTTTTCTTGGCTGCCAGCATAATCATCATCAGTGTAACATTGTAAATCGGCCTTAATAATTTCTGGGCCAGCTAGTAAAGTTCTTAGATAGTAGATACTTTAGATGATCCTATAGGCAGGAATAATATTAAATGTACTTAAAACACACCAACTGGTCAGGATAGACTTGGCTAGCCAGAGTCCCGGAGTGGAGTCTTGCAGGTCTGCTGGACCAGGACTTAATCCTTTAACTGCTGGGTCATGCAGATTCTGAGATTCCAAGATTCCAAAGGAGTCCTGGGCCAGAAAGTGGAGGGGTTGCTTGGGGCATGGGACATTAACTTGGGGGCAGAGGCTCTTTACTAATTAGGGTAGAAAGTATGTTCACAGGTGCACAGAAGATGAATATCAGCTCTGCCCATAACCATGACAAGGGTGACCCATAACATAGAAAGAAATTGCTCTTGAAAAATCAGCATTGTTAAATCCAGGGTGAAAAAGACTGAGATCTGGGAAGTTCAAGAGTGTGCTGTAATCTCTGTCCCTTCAGGTGCAGTGTGCGCCCCATCATGTGTGGTTCCCCCAAGTGATCCCGTGATCCTGCCTAAGAACGTGACTGTGGACACTCTGGAGCACTGGATGGAGCCTGTCAAAGTCCAGGTGAGGAAAGGGACATTTTTACGTACCGAGGGTATAGCAGTTCCCAACAGACACATATTCCCTGGAGTAATTTCAGAGACTTTCAAAGCATCCTTAAAGCAAACAACTGCATGGGTCATTTCCTGAAGGGGAGAATTGCAAATCAAGAAGCAAAAAGGGAAAGCTTGAGGAAGAAGATGGCCCACATCCAAGGGAACATTTCACACATTATACAGAAAGAAGACTCTGAACAATAATACAGGGAGGGAATTAAGACAGAAAAATTACTATCAATGAAAAATAGGGAAGAAGGAAACTAGGCTTTGGGTGGTGAGCATGCAATAGAACACATAGATGTTGAATTATCATGTATGCCTGAAAATTATGTAATGTTACCAACCAGCGTTTCCTCAATAAATTATTATTTTTTTAAAAAAAAAGACAGGAAAACTGGGATAAACCAAAGAAATGAACAAAGATGAAAAAGGGATGGAAAGGGAGAGATGAATTAGGAAAAGATAACAAAATTGAAAACAGGGAGAGAATGTCTAAAGGAACTGCGTGCATTGTTCCCGAACTCCCAAATCAATATTCTTTACACCAAGAGACAACCAAGGGTTATCCCAGAGTTACCTGTGCTCTCTCAGCTGCTTCATAGGTATTATGAAATTAAGGAGTATCGCTTATAAACAGTGGTTACATAGGGTGATTCATTTTTAGGAAATTGCAATTGCATTGTACCAGAAACACAAGAGAAAGAGGTCTATGGAAGCGATGGGAACGGTGACAAGGTTATTGCTCTAGTGTTCCCGAATCCTCAGAGATAAGATTATGCACCAACCACAGACGGTCTCATGACCTCTGCCATTTTGTGGCCCTCAGTGGCTCACGAGGAGTGTGGAGACTAATCTTGTCCTCATAAATAAGAAAAAATATAAACCCAAAGCAGATGTATTAGGTGAAACTCTCCATTGAGTAAAATCCTTCTAACTTACCTGGACTTATTTTGAGGGTTGACCCGTATTGTGCTCAAGCTTATATTTGGGCGCCCTTAAAAATCACTTGGGCAGCTTGTAATAGGAACAGACCTGGATTCCACCTTACGGAGAGGTTGGGGATGCCTTGGAGTGTGTGTCTTTAATAATGCTCCAGGTAATTCCACTGTCATGATTTGAGAAACACTGCTATTGCAAAATAAAATACTGGGGACATTAATACCTTAAGTACCATATAGGTGCACCTATCTGGAGCCCGGCTCATTTGACTAGTAAATGGTGAACTCCTATTTCCTGCAAATCCCTGCTAACACCCGTGCTTTCCACATCTTTATATTTGGCAATACAACAGAGCAAGTGGGTTAAATTGCACTGTTTTCTCTAGTTGGCTTCCAATGACTTTATTCTTTGTAATAAAAGTGACATCTTACATGTGGAGAACACTTTATTGTCTTTAAAGTATGTATAATATATATATTTAAAAATGTATTTATAATTTTTATTTTAATCTTATCACAAACCAATAAACTAGGAAAGGAAGATTTTATTATTATTAATCAATAAATTAGATGTTGCTGGATGATCTGTCCAAGGTTGCACAGTGGACAGGAAATGGAGAAAGAAGTGCAACCAGCTTTCCCTGCATCGCCCTAATCACTCTGCTTGCTCTAGTAGTTTTGTTTTTTCTTCCCTGATGTATGTCTGGGTTAGTTTGCCTGCCAAATAGAAAATCAGTCACTTCTCTCGACTACGAGAACTCCCTCCTTGCCACACTTCCCTTCCCTCCCCATGAAGTCTAACCCAGATAATTTAGAGAAAGATTTCCCTCTAATACTGCTTGTCTTTATTGTGAAAGAGTTTGCTTTTAATGAACAACTGAGTGTACTTTTCAGATGCCCACACATTATTTGCCTGTCTCTGGGGGTCCTACTGATTTTTTATCTCTGATTCTTAGAATAATATACTTTTTCTTAAAGGAAGAATTTCTGAGGACTTAGGTAGCGCGGGGTTTTGGTGAAAAACAGCTGAAAGTAGCAACTGTCTTGAAAGGAAGAGAGGTCCTCCTGAGCGCAAACACTGTGTGACTTACCTTTGCTGCCTCCGGCTCCCCGTCAGCCAGGGTGAGGCTGGTAGTCCCTGTCTTTCAGAGTTGTTACAAAAATTCAAAACAACTCTTGTGACGCATAGTTCTGAATTAAGTAAAAATGACATTTCAGTACACTTAGTAAAATCTTACCTTTGGAACTTCATCTCCGGAAAGATATTACCAGCTATCTCTACTAGAAAGAAAAAAAATATTATTCTAAACTCTGTGTGTGTGAGAGAGAGAGAGAGAGAGAGGGAGGGAGC